CCCTTCGTTTTCTTTTCTTTCTGTGTCTCCAGATATTCTCTGGTGTCCTCATTTATTTCCTTATCATCATCATCATCCTCTTTTCCTTCTCTTTGTCTCAAATTTTCTCTGTAGTATTAAGAAGAATAGAGAGAGTAGAAAGGTATAAAAAAGAGGAAGAGGTCTACAGCACAGCTTTATGCTGGGAGCTTTATAAGGAACCCGGTGCTCATATACAGTATTGCAGCTGAAACACCAGTAAAGTGCATGTTTTAACTGATCACAATAGAAGAACCTGAGAAGTAATAATCAATAAACAGAATAGGTTCGTGTAGCACTAATGGTATCTGACTTACCATGGATATTACCTGCAGAGTTCTATGAAAGTGAACAGACATCTTGGAAATAATGAGCTTCTGGATGTGAAAAGTCATATACACCTTTGGGCACTCATACGCATGCAAACATTTATCTGCAGGCTAGGGCAGAAACCTGTTTATAAAGGGCATGTAGGTCAGGGGCAAACAGAATCTAAACAAGGGGCAGAGGATAGCAATAAAACACACACACACATGCAGACAGAATGACAAGTAGCCAGGGACCAGTTTCAAAATGGTGGCTGGATTTCTCTACACTTATTGAATAGACATTTACAGTTTTAAACCATGCTACTATGTCCCTCTCTCTCCTTCCTGGCGCTCTCTCTCTCTCTCTCTTTTTCTTTTTCTGGCTCAGAGCCATGGTGCTATAATGCAGGCAGGATATCACCAGAAGGTCTGTTTTAGGGCCTGCAGCGACACCAAAGCTTGTGGTCTAAAAAATGAACTGAATCTTGGCCCTCATACTGCCTTCCCAGGACACACCCTGCACACATCCACACACACACAGAGGCCATAATGACACAGCTGAACTCACCATCGACCACTCACTGGTTGCTGCTGAGAGCTATCTAGCAGGAAGAAAACCCCATTCAAAACTTCTTTTTCCTTTAGGACAGAGAAGAGACTCACACCGGGGCTGATGCTTGTTCAAGCGAACGTTAGCTGCTGACCCTTGAACTTTGCTGACATTAGATTTTTGAGAACAAGCAAGCTTCAAAAGAAATACGTTACTTGATTAGATATTTCAGCAATCACTGTTCTGATCAGGGTAGGAACATAAATCTACTGTTTTATCATTCCTAAATCAGTTTTACTTTTACTGTAATAGCCCTACAATACAGTTACCAATAGATACATACTACATACAGTACATCATTAAACTGTCATGTTTTCTAATGTCTCTGGAAGTCTGAAGGTATTAAGTTCTTTTTCCTTGACAGGCTGGTGTGTGTGTGTGTGTGTCAGGTCGTTCTAGTCGTACGACCTCTGTAACCTGTCTCTCTCCCCTTTTGCTCTCCACGGCCTGTGTCTTTCCACTGAAACTAAACCCACCCTGGCCCACTGGAATTTGTGAAGTGATGAGAGGACAGTGCAGTCCCATGCTAATATCAATCTAACATTCCTCTGAGCTGTCAGAGCTGCCGTTTGTAAAAAATGTCTTATTTTGAGTATTACAGAATAGGAAGGTGCGCTGCTGTGGCAGTAATCTACCTGAGGTATTGAGCAGCAAATTGCTGCCGTTGAATGAACAACAGCCTCTTGAAACTTGCAATGGTGCTTAAAGATTTCCAATTTTACATTTTTTTTAATCCACAGAGTGGCATTCAGTACTTCAATTGAAGTGAAATAATGAAACTACAGTAAAACTGTGGCTCCAGTTTCTGTTTCAGATGAGAGCGGAGCACACTGAATGCAAAACGTCTCATATTCATATCCACCCGTAGCCGTATCTCGGTATTCAGCAGTTGTCAGGAGAAATTTGGATGGGAAAAATGAGTAGTAAGGCTGTAACACATGGACCCAAGCCTTCTGGACTTTCCCTTCATGCATTCTTTTGTGTAACAAGCTGTATCTTGTGAAACTAGGATATGCTAATCCATAACACCTTTTCTGCTTGCCAAGCAAGGCCTGGGTTGCACCACTGACTGAGATCACCGAGAAGCCATTCTGGGGCAATGGACAGACATTCTGCCTGCTGCTGACAGCACAGACATTCCCAGTGTGTCCTCCTCACTGAACACTGCCTACAGAAATGATGTCAGAGCATGTTGGCTAGCCAATCTTGCCAAAAACAGTAACTTACTATCAAGGTATAATGGCATCAACACAATACATAATACACCTCATTTGGTGCATTATAGTTTAAGGTAAAACCTGCAGCCAGGTAAGACTTGATCTTGATCACCAGCACGGCTGCAAACCGTGGATAAAACAAAATTTTTGACATTTTTGCAGATTTATTAAAAAAGAAAAATTGAAATATCACATGGTCATAAGTATTCAGACCCTTTGCTCAGTATTTAGTAGAAGCACCCTTTTGAGCTAATACAGCCATGAGTCTTTTTGGGAATGATGCAACAAGTTTTTCACACCTGCATTTGGGGATCCTCTGCCATTCCTCCTTGCAGATCCTCTCCAGTTCTGTCAGGTTGGATGGTAAACGTTGGTGGACAGCCATTTTCAGGTCTCTCCAGAGATGCTCAATTGGGTTTAAGTCAGGGCTCTGGCTGGGCCATTCAAGAACAGTCACAGAGTTGTTGTAAAGCCACTCCTTCGTTATTTTAGCTGTGTGCTTAGGGTCATTGTCTTGTTGGAAGGTGAACCTTCGGCCCAGTCTGAGGTCCTGAGCACTCGGGAGAAGGTTTTCGTCCAGGATATCCCTGTACTTGGCCGCATTCATCCTTCCCTCGATTGCAACCAGTCGTCCTGTCCCTGCACCTGAAAAACACCCCCATAGCATGATGCTGCCACCACCATGCTTCACTGTTGGGACCGTATTGGACAGGTGATGAGCAGTGCCTGGTTTTCTCCACACATACCACTTAGAATTAAGGCCAAAAAGTTCTATCTTGGTCTCATCAAACCAGAGAATCTTATTTCTCACCATCTTGGAGTCCTTCAGGTGTTTTTTAGCAAACTCCATGCAGGCTTTCATGTGTCTTGCACGGAGGAGAGGCTTCCGTCGGGCCACTCTGCCATAAAGCCCCGACTGGTGGAGGGCTGCAGTGATGGTTGACGTTCTACAACTTTCTCCCATCTCCCGACTGCATCTCTGGAGCTCAGCCACAGTCATCTTTGGGTTCTTCTGTACCTCTCTCACCAAGGCTCTTCTCCCCCGATAGCTCAGTTTGGCCAGACGGCCAGCTCTAGGAAGGGTTCTGGTCGTCCCAAACGTCTTCCATTTAAGGATTATAGAGGCCACTGTGCTCTTAGGAACCTTAAGTGCAGCAGAAATTTTTTTGTAACCTTGGCCAGATCTGTGCCTTGCCACAATTCTGTCTCTGAGCTCTTCAGGCAGTTCCTTTGACCTCATGATTCTCATTTGCTCTGACATGCACTGTGAGCTGTAGGGTCTTATATAGACAGGTGTGTGGCTTTCCTAATCACGTCCAATCAGTATAATCAAACACAGCTGGACTCAAATGAAGGTGTAGAACCATCTCAGGGATGATCAGAAGAAATGGACAGCACCTAAGTTAAATATATGAGTGTCACAGCAAAGGGTCTGAATACTTATGACCATGTGATATTTCAGTTTTTCTTTTTTAATAAATCTGCAAAAATGTCAAAAATTCTGTGTTTTTCTGTCAATATGGGGTGCTGTGTGTACATTAATGAGGAAAAAAATGAACTTAAATGATTTTAGCATAGGGCTGCAATATAACAAAGAGTGAAAAATTTAAGGGAGTCTGAAT